GCCTGCTGCCAATTACCTCCAACAGACCGATTAGATCCCCCAGACTAGGCCTCCTCCAAATTCCATCCACTGGCCAATGCCGATTGTCTACCACCCGGAGGAGGGCCTTCTCTGTGGCTGATCCGGCCCTCTGGAACGAGCTCCCCGTGGAGATTCGGACCCTCACCACCCTTCAGGCTTTCCGCAAAGACGTTAAAACCTGGCTGTTCCGGCAGGCCTGGGGCTGATGAGTTCCCACCCCCGCTCAAATTGTGTGGCTGTTGACTGCTTTTAAATTGTCTCTGTTGTTTGTTTGTTGTCTCTTCCTTTTGTCTGTATTTCCTCCCCTGGGTCTGTTAGCCGTCCTGAGTACCTCCGGGAATAGGGTGGCATACAAGTGAAATAAACCTTAAACCTTAATAAATAATTCTATATAACATGGTTTATTTGGTTTTGGATTAGCAGCATGCTTTTTAAAGCAGTGGTTGAACAAACAACGGCATAGTATAAAATATGTCTGGCATGACTGAGTTCAGTTTATTACTCTACAATATGGGTACTTTGATTTTAGCGTATGTTGTTCATATCCAGCCATTGATTTATGGCTCAGAAAAATCAGACAATTAAACAAGCCATATAGGAAGTTATACTATCGAAACCAGCGGGTCTAAAATGCACTTGTCATGCTTGATGTCAGCTTCCAACAACTGGCATTTATTTATAACTAAATATTCCAAAACATGCATGACTCCAACTAGAAAATAAGCAATAAAAGTCACTTCAAAGTTTATATTCATACACTGGATAATTGGTGGCATTTATAATGTACTAAAGTAAAAAAAAAAAAGAATCCACGGGGCGCAACTGATTCGCTGCCTAAATGCCAGTTTGAAAACACTAGCGCGAGCCAGTACGAACAAAATCTGTTGATAGGTTAGACTCCGCCCCCAATAAACAGACGGGTGACATCCCCGCTCTTAGAACGCCAAATCCTCGGGAGCCAATGAAACGCCGCGTTTCGCCCAGCTCCCGGACGCTGCTGCTGTAGTTCTTCGGCCGCACGTGATCGTCTTCCTCAGTGGCAGGCGCGGAACTAGGAAGTGGTCGGTTTCTTTGTCGTCTTCCTCGCCCGCGGTGGCAGTTATGAGCTCGGCCACTCTGCTGCTGCTGCTGCCCGGCATCTTGTTGGGCCTCTGTGCCGGGGAGAGTCTCATCCCCGGCCGACATCTGTTACTGCAAAGCGGTTTGGAAGAAATAGTTTTGGGAGGCCGACGTGGCGCCTGGCCCTTGGCCCTGGAGGACCTGTCTTCGCTCGAACCGGAGTTCTTAGGGGTCTCGCAGGAGCCGCAGCTGGATCCAGAGTGCAAGGAGCTCTTGAGTGCCTTCGCCAATAGCAGCATAAGATTGGCTGGCTGCTTAATCCAGAACGCCCGGCCTGTGACGCTCTGCCAGAACTGCTATCATCAATTTGGGGAAGTCATGCAGCAGTTCGAGAACATCGAGGTGCGTGGATCGGGTTCCTTAAACACTGGGCTTAAGCCTTAGAGTCTTTCCGTTTCCCCCTGAACAGTTTAGCTCTATCGATGCTGTCCCACTATTGTCCTGCAAGTACTTCTTGTTGAAGCAATAAAGATTCTTGTGGTGCATTGTAGAATTTGCTGTTTTTGTGGATTGCAGTTGCATCGAATGAAGTGGGGTCTCTACTTATCTACATGTTGGTTAGACTCTACCGTTTAAGGGTCCAACAAGGCTAGTTGTAAGGCTAGTTGTACAGCTGCCACCGAAAATCGTGGCAGTTTTTTTGGAAATTATAATTTGATTTGCTTGTTTTGTTGGCTACCGTTAAATTCTCTTGAAATTTCAATGCTTGGGATAACACAGTGTGCTTTGTCTAAAAGCACTGCCCATGGGTTTTTCAAAATTGTACTGGTGAAACCTTTTTATCTGGGGGGAGGAGGGGAGGCTCGTCCCTTATTACTGTGGAATAAAACCTACAGCCTGCTTTCTGTGGCTGATGGGAACTCATGAAACAAGTGGGAGCTACAATAAACATATATAGCCTACCTTAGAGTAGAGAGGTTCTTTCTGGGATGCAAATTAGATTTTGTTTTCCTTGTCAGTGGGATTGCTTATAAGTGTCTATATCTTTGCAGCAAGGAGAATTAATTGGCGTTTGCTTTTGATAAAATATAAAGTTGTGAAGATGAATGCTTGGAGAGTCAATTTCTTTGCCCTCCTCAGCAAGTGACGACATCTGATTGATCTGCAAAGATGAGCAGTATCAGGCCTGCTTAGTAATTGGATAGGTAGGAGGACATCACAGGAGACTAGGCTACATTTGGAAGATGAAAAATACAATGACGAACTTCTTCCTTATCATGCCAAAAAGCCCTGTGCCTATATAAGCGTATATAGGAATGTGATTGAAAGGATAATTTATGTAAACTTTGAATTTGTCATTTTCCATATTCATATACAATAGGTATAGGCTTTCAATGAGCTATCCACATATTTATCCCCTGGCTTACAAATCCCAGACAGGCACAAAAACCTAAATTACTGAATACTTCATCGATCATTATGGAAGGTATTCAGCCTGGTGTCTACAAATTCTGAAAAATTAAAATAAGAAAAATCAACTGGCTTGACTGAATCTGAAAAAAAATCACATTGTCACTTTAAATTAAATTCAAATGTAGCAATTACTGCTTTGCATCAGGAGGAACTTAAGACAAAGAGTTATTGCTGGAAAAAGATAGAAGTATGCATTCCATCATATGATTTTTCACATGTTAAAAATCACAGAAATAGAAAATGTGCAAGAACTGATTGGAATGGAATGTTCTCTTGCATTGCAGCCTGTAAGTAGAGTTAATCAAATAGATGCAAATGCTTTTATTAATTAAGGATGGCTCAACTTCTCTTCCATACAGGCCTGCTGGGGATGAGGGGACTTTCTAAAACAGATTTGGGAATTGTGGGGGGTTTGGATGAAAGAGGATTCATTTGTATAAGTGGACCCACTTGGGCATTGATGAATTTTATCTCAGAATATTTTCATCAGCAAAATATTTTCAGAACATTTCTTTGTTTATAAAAAAAAAATCACTAAAATATTTGCAAAATGCATGGATTTGATATCCAAGTTACAAGAATATCCCAAATGTGCTTTTTCAAGAGACAATTGGACTTTCTTGTTCCAGTTGCCTCTTGAAAAACACCTTTGGGACAACCATGACCTAGATGACTGAGAATCTCCATAGATATTAAGTTACAAGAATGTAGATATCTCAACTTGTCATTTATATATTATAAAAAGACAAAGATATCTAATGGAGAAACTTAAAAGATGTTCTCAGCAACTGGTGGATTAACACAGAAATTCCTTTGAGAGCTGTTTCAGTTCCTGAGCAATTTAATTGGGAAAAGATGCCAGGGGCGTCTTTTATGCCATTTATTTGTATAGTACATGTATGTCCCAATTTTATTAGGAAGGTAACATGTTTATTTGTTCAAGTGAACTACAATGCAACACTATATTTACTCAGAAATAATGGTTTCTAACCCAGTGGGGCCTTCCCCAGTGGAAAGCTAGTTTATATAGGTTAGTAGCTTTAAAATGCAATCCTTCGATACCATAGGTATTGCATACTTGATTGCTGGATCTGCTAACAAATGATTTCTATATGTATATTTTCTCCTTTCAGAATACTACTAAGAGTAACCGATGTGCCCAAAGTCTCTTGATGTCAGACAGGCTGCAGATGGTTGCACTTGTGAACACGTTTTTTAATGACACATGGATAAAAGCTAACTGTGCAAGTATGTACTCTTTTTGACTGCTTTCTTGTCTATATTTGAATATTCAATATGAATAAAAGACAGTATTTTTTTTTTACTTTTTAAAAGCTATATATAAAGGTAATACACAACACTTCAATATGTATGCTTCTTCTCTGGTGTTAGTTTTAATATAAGAGATAATGTTTCCCAGAACTAAGTAATTGCTTGTTCATTGTTCTCAGTTTCTACAAATCCTGATTGGGTTCATATGCTTATGCCTTGCATAAGAATATTACAATGTATTGATTTGAACCCATAGAACACACACATAATAGTTTATAATTCACAGCAGCTGACTTTCTACAATATACTAACCTAAAGCCAAACAAACAAAACCACAGTATAATAAAGATATTATTTCTGGAATGATCTGTGAGGAATGGACCGGGTGAAGAGGAGCAGGTAAACTGAGAAATGGCAATCCACCATGCTTATATGATAAGTCTGAAAAGCCTGTGTTTCTTTTGATGGAATGGCATATCCTTTTTAACGAGGTGTATAGTATCTGCTGTGTTAGTCATATGTGTATTACCATTATTAGTTAAATGAACTGATTGATATTTTGTTGCATAATCAGGGACACTGTGGTTATAGTTGTATTTCTCAATTGTTACTTTGATTCTGTTCATTAAAATAGGAAGGGAAATTACATGATGATTTAGGAAATATCTAAAATAATGTGCTGTTCATCATTGTTTAAAATCCATAAGCTTGCATCATGTGTGTATACACACATACATACAGTATATATACATATGTAGATGTATAGAATATGTATGTAGGAAAAGTGAGGGGAAAAAGGGAAAATGCAGTGTTTTACATAAATGTTTTGATAAACATGTATGTAAGGGGTGTTAAACTCACATGACCTATCAGGACTCCCCCCCCCCCTTCGCTAAACCAGGCATGGTTGTGGCCAGCACATGATCCATCTGGCCTGCAGGCTGCGAGTTTGACAGCCCTAGCGTATGTGTATGGGCTTTATTGATGTTTATACATTATGTTCACTGCCTAGAGATTGTAGGATGGGCCCATAGATTTGAGAAATAAATAGGACAATTAATGCATGAGGTTAAGGTACCAGGTAGGAAATCATGAGACTATGAGTTCTAGTTCTGCCTAAGGCCTCTGTCTCAGCTCATCTTGCCTCACTGGGTTTTTGTGGGGAAAATAGGAGGAAGGAGTATAAGTATATTCATTGCCTTGAGTTGTTTATAAAAATAATAAAAGGCAGATTATAAAATTAATAAATACTGGACAGCCATGTAAACCATTTGAATGTATCATAATCAGCAACAGATAGTTGAATCTGTAAGCAACTTGTTTATAAACTGCAAATTGAATTAATTGCATGAAGCTTAATTATTTCTTAGTTCTTGATGCATGATTATGTCAATATATGTGGACTTGTTCCAGCAATTCAGTGCTGTATAGGGAAATAGTGATATCCAAGAAAATACATTTTTACTGATACATACATGTAAATACCCGTTCATAAACGTTTACAGCCCTGTTGTTTTAATTTATCACAAGAGTGTTGTATAGCCACACAATTGACATTGAGTTGATGCATGTGATCCTTATTTATTTAAATTTCTAAGGCTGTTAGGCCATAATGATTTGAAAAACAATTCAAAACAATGTAACACCTAGGGGGAAAAACAATGCCTGTAGAAACAATAAAATCCACCAGTTGAATTCAAAACATGCCCATAAGAGGTCCACCCCATATGCTAGTCCAGGGCCTGGGGAAGAGCCAATTTTTGAGAGCCTATTTAAACAAGTTCAGGTAGGGGCCATACAGAACACTATGGGAGATACTGTTCTCAAGGACAAGCACTGCAACAGCATATTTGTGTATGAGTGTTCCTTTGGACATTGGATGTGAATATCCTTCTAGAATCTGTTTGTGTTAGCCCTTTGTTTTCTTGTTGTAGCTTATAATAGTAGAATCCTGAAAGACTGCCAGAGTTTTCCTCTGTCTCTGTTATATCTCTTATACCATAAAAAAATCAAGGTGGAGTTGAGTCTCTCTCTCATGCTCCTGTCTTTTATCATATTATGATGTTGTTTACAGTCTCTCTTATCTTTTAAGTATTCTGTTAATTGTTCTTGCATACTCTTCATTTTTATCCCTGCATTTTTCTACAGTTGGTGGTTTTCATCTGCCAAAACGATGTTAAGTAAAATGTTTCTAACGAACATACTTGATATGGAAGCTGATTTGAAAATCACCTTAAATTGTGTGTGTGTATTTTAGACAAATAACGGCTAATTTTGCCAAGCAAATATACTGCCTTTTTTACTTGTACTTAACACAGACTTGTAAAGGTAATTATAGTTCACTGGTGTATTGTGATAAGAATGACACATGGTTTGGCACAGCTGAAAGGCATGTTCAGAAGCCATATTTAATGGCTGTTGTTTAATATTAAACAACTATCGATGATCCTAACTGTAGTTTGCAGTTGCCTTTTTCCTAGAAGTCATAGTTGAGATTAAACCTCTATTCAAGAATTGGAGATGACACTGAACTTCATTATTTTTGTAACAAAAAGTAGACATACAACCTCCATAGTGCCACTGATGAAAAAGAGGACAGAGAATAGCATCCAGGCACAAGGTTTGTTGATATAAAAGAGTGAAGGTTCATTCTCTGAGCTTATTGGTTGGTTTCTGAACATTTCGTTACAAGGCTAGGTAACATCTTCAGAAGAGTTTGGGAAATGCCAGTGTCAGAATTCTTCTGTCTATAAGGGCTTCAGGTGTGGGTGTGTCAAGGGTTTTCTGATGGGTCAGCTTTAAATCATCAGTGAGTCTTGTGATGGGTCTTTGTGTGTGTGTGTGTAAATCTATCACATATATCATACTATATTTAGACTGATATTCTCCTTATCACTCACTACATGGCACTGAAAGTCAGTCTTACTCAGGAACAATTTATTAAAAATATACAGTATATGAAAGTTATTTTATGTGAAAGAATAACTCATGAATGAAGGCAAATATACATATGTGTTGCTCTTCTGAGTTTTTGGACTTGTGCTGGAGCCCATCCTCGGGGAACTTCTCTCCACCGGAATGTGTGCTTTGGGCTATGCCATGTGCAGTATTTATACACTGACTAGTTCTGTGTGGCCTCTAGCTGTTGATTAGATACTGATGGCTGGTCATTAAGTCATTGGCTGTTGTTTCTCTGTGTTGCCAAGTCCTAGACCTAGTCCAAAGCTTTAAGTACCTTCAGTTGAAAGAGTATAGAGGCCTCCTTGAGTTCTTTACAATTCAGATGCAACAATTTGACATTCTAAGGGGACAAGTAAATAAGGCTTTTTGTGTGTGAAAGAACAGCTTTTTTTAAAAAAAAGAAACACTTTTTGAAGATGCCTTAAATGATAGTTACAGTATCTTAAGCTAGTAGTGGACAACTTGGTACTACACAGATATCTATCTGAGTGTGACTCCCACAGTCTTGCTGTTACTCATGCCAATTAAGGCTGATGAGATTTGGATATTAAAGCATCTGGTATTTTAGCCCTCATTTGTTTCCTCTCTATGCTCCTCTTTACACAGAGTTGTTTTATGGAATCATACAAAGCCACTGTGGGTTATCTCAAAATTTACTTATGAGATCACTTTCTAATTTCATCCAATTGATATAAGGACTACTAGTTAATGTCCATATCAATGTTAAAAGAGAAAATATAGATCATATGATAGAAGCCTGATACTATTATGTACTACTGGATCAGAGGTGGGTTGCTGCCGGTTCGGCCCGGATTGGGCAAACCAGTAGTAGTAGCAGCAGCAGGAGGCTCTCCCCACCATCTGGACGCTTCTGCGCATGTGCGCCCAAACTGGTAGTAAAACAATTAGCAACCCACCTCTGTACTGGATGCCTTGTTAAGCCTAGCCATTTATGTCCTCTTTGTTGAGTTTAAATATTCTCATCCTTCTCAATCTTACTGCTGCCTCTGATTCAACTGAGCTTTTCTCCTCCCCTATTTTCCTTTGTTTCTAAGCTTCTGCAATCCTAACTTCAGCAAGAAATTGTTCCACATGCTTAATCTACTCTTTCACAGATTGGATTCACATTAGATGTTTGGCAAAAGGTGGTTTATTTCATTGTGGCATAGCGTGTTATCTATGCAAACATTGCATATTTTATAATCCCTAATTAAAAAATCATGGGTTAATGTGATTTGTGAATTTATTGTGTATTTCTGTCTCTTCCCCCCCACCCCCAAGATCCTATTGTTTCCTGGGATTGTTTAGTGTCACTTATTTTGTGGTGATACACATTCTATATCTACCCTTCCACCTTCGGAAATCAAAAGCAGATTGTTTGGATGCCTCTTCCTATCCAGACATTTTTCCTTCCAAGCTGCCTTTTCCTTCACTGCTGTTACTCTCTGATAACACCAATATTACCTAGTCACCCCTACATTTCTGTATCTTGTCAAATTATGATACTTTTCTTCTATTATTAAAAGAAAAAAAATCCTTCAATGAAAACTGTTGTCTATGTCCAGATCCCTCCACCCCCACCCCCAGTTGTATCCCCATGTTCACTTAAAGCCATCTTGTTCCCTACTATAGGTTTCCTCATCTTTCTGATTAGCAACTTTACAATTTCCTTCATTTTATTGTTTTTCTTTTCAATAAGGTCACTTCTCTCATATTCTTTTGCTTCCTGTTATGTCTGGTATAACCCCTAGACCAACAACCCTTATTCCTGCTAAGCTTCTCTTCAAAACTCAGAATTTCTACCATTTTCTATCTTTCTACCATTTCTACCCCTATTTATTTTATCCTGGGGGTAGATTGAGCATTTTATTGCTTAATTTGGCAATATTTGACAATAAAGTTTCCAAGAATTTATAACACCTTTATTTTGGAATATATTTTCCCCCCATTTTTTGGGCAAAAGATCTGAGGTTTTGGCTTGTCACCAGGGTACCAACCTAGCCTCTCTTTTTTCCTCTTTCCCTTCCTCTTTCTTCCTAGCATCATCTTAGTGAAGGAAGAGTGCACTTAATGGGCAATGATGTTCCTCTCCCCCATCCCAATCAGATCCTGAAGTGCATGGAATCTATTTTAGATCCCCTCTTTTGGGGGTGGGTTTTTTATTTTTTTTTGCTCTTTACAGAATTTCAGCAGCATGCCATCGGAGAACTGTATAAAGAAGAGAGAATTGTTTAAAGAAGGGATAACTGTAAAAAGAAGGGGACTGCATGTGATGATGTAGTGTCACTGATTGTGAATGCCTTAGCCTAGCATTTGTCATCCTTTTCATTGCAGGTTCATAGATTATACTGTCATACTTACACAACTGAAAATTTAAAAGCAGAATAGCTATCTGTAAAATAAATAAGCCTTTATCTAAAATAGCCTTTTGGAAATAGATACTGGCAATTTATTGATGCTTTTGACTCTTCTTTCATAGATTGTTTAAAGGAGAAGAACGAAGGCTTATCAGCTAGTACAGTGACGTTCCTGGCCTTATACAATGAAACAATGACATGCTTTAAACAGAACCTCCAGGTACTTAATATTGTTTATTAAGGGTACAGTTGAGCCCTCTAATTGTGTAGTGAATTTCCCCCTTTTTTTCAGACCAAGGCGCTGCAAATATAATTTACCAACTCTTACACAGTTTAAGCAGATAAAACAATTATCTTTAAAATGCAGGTGTTCACTACTGAGAACCAAATGCATCCTAATTAATGTTCACCTCCATTTCATATGCAATTATGGCGCTGTTTTGGTTTCACAATAGTTGATAATTATATAGGAAGAGTCGTATAATCTCTTCATATAGTAAATCACTTTTTACATTATTCTAGGCCTTGTCACCTGATATAACTATATGGGTCATCTGGTATATTATTGTAGTATGAGTTTAGTCGTGGATACATAGCTATTTAAAAAGTTGGTTTTTCACATATAGTATCTGCTATTAAAAGCTTTCTAAATCTAGTATCACTGTAAAGTTGGAAAGATATGGCCAACTTCTAGGATATGATCCAACTATGTTCAGAACTATTATGCTTTTTTATTCAAAACATCAGATCTGTATATCCCATATCTTAATTTATATCATTAAAGTGTTTATTGTTATGAAGGATGATATCAAAATTCTAACCAGAAGCTTAAAATAGTTTCTGTAGAAATCCAATTAATTTGTAATTTGTAAGGTATTTATCACTGCTCTCCCTTGATTGTTACATTTAGAATAGGAATCATACTCCTACTACTATAATATATGGCTGTGCAACCAAACCATGTATAATCATTGAACTATTTTGGCAAATCAGACATTAAAAAAATGAGGGGAAAAATCTGTTTTTATTTTTTATTTCTTAGTGAAGAAGAAAATGCCAAGCCCAGTATTTATGATTTTACATTTAGTTTGAAATATTGAAAAATAGTCTTGTATTTTTGAATTCAATCAATTCTTTTCTCTTCTTATTGAAGAATAATGTGAGCATTTTATTTAGCCACAAAAGTGACTTTTTGGGGGAACATTCCCTCCCCCCCCCCTTATATAGAAAAGTTAAGTACCTATGAACTATTAGAGAAGGCAAAGTTAGAATTAGTGGAGTTGCATAAGATTTTTTTTCATTACTGAAGAATGAATGACACAGATGAATTAAATGGAACATTGGGTAGAATCAGAGTGAATTATGAGAAAACTCAGCTGAGAAGATTCTGAATTATAATAAAAGAAAAAAGTTATCAGGATAGGTATAGAATTAGAAAAAAATGGAACTTCATATAGAAACTTCTGTTCCCCATGTTTCCTTCCATGTGGAGGGAAAAAACCGCCAGTTCTATACATATTCACAGGAGGCATCTCAGTGTAATCTGCGGAAGTTGCTTAAAAAAACTTATTGTGATTGGGCACTTTTACCGTCAGGAAGGTGTGCAAATCTTTAATTGCCTTCAGTTGAGAGTATAGTGGGCCCCTTCAGAACTTTATATTTCAGATGCAACAAGTTGACATTCTCTTAAGAGGACAAGGAAAGGCTTCTGTTTGTGAACACTGCCTGCTTTACATATTTATTTTAAACACTCGGGTGAATTTACTCAACCTTCCATAATCCGTATACTCTGTGGACAAATTGGAAATTCTCTGATAATTTGAGGGATTTTTTTGCTGATTTTCAATTAATATGACCACCCATCTCAAATTCATGACTAACAAAATTTTAAATTAAAATGTAACTTAAAATTTTAAATTAAAAACTATATAAAAACCATAGAAGTACAATTAGTAGCTAAGGTAAAAAAACCCCATTAAGAGCAATTAACCCAATTACCTCATGGGCTTCACCCCATACCAATGATAGAACCATGCCTTTAAGACCTTACAAAAAGCAAGTTGGGTTGGGATTAATCCTGTTTCCTGAAGGCTGATATTTCAAAGGCTAGTACCATGAAGGAAAAGCCTTTCTTCTTGGATCCTGCCAGATAATATTCCCTGGTAAAGTCCCTGTCCTGCTGGAATTTATGGGATGGATAGACATAATTGGGAAAAAAACAGTCCCTCAAAGAACTCAGCCTCATTCCTTGAAGGGTTTTATAGGTTATTACCAACACCTTGAATGTCCATGCTGCTGGATTCTGCATCAGCTGTAGTTTCCAGATAAAATGCATTGCTGTAGTCCATTTGGGAAGTGACCATAGCATGAGGGATTATGAGCAGGGTCTCTTGGTCAAAGAATGAACATAACTGGCACACAACAGAAAATTATGCAGTGTTCCTTCTGGCCACAGCTACTACTTGTTCTGTGAACAGGAGCTGCAGTTGAACTGGAAGATTCCCAAAATGCACACAGGGTCTGTTAGGGCAGAAGAATACTGACATTTTGCCACCATTACCACCACAATCTTTTTTGAAGATTGTGTATATTTAAATACATCCTCTGTATTTATATTATCCTTGATACTGAATAATATAGTACTTTTCCGTTCATTTGTCTTTTTCTTCTGTTTTTCATGTTTCACTGTTGATCAGATATCAAATGTTAAAATGTGCTGTTGTGGTGGGTTCTGCTATACCAAAACAAAGTACTGATTGTTGATGTAACAGTCATTAACATAACTGTTTTGCATTGATGTGAGAATAGTCAGGAGCTATTGAATAATGAGCATTGTCAGCAGGAGGTAAATGAAAAGAATAGCGGAAGTTGGACAAGAATGGATATACTGACAGCTTGAAAACATATTAATTATTTTCACCCAACATCCTAGTTGCTGCATTTTGGCAGCATTTATCTTTCACATCACATTCTGCAATTTCCTCGCAACCCATACTTTTAAGATATCTTACAAGAAAACTCCATACCTTCCTGAATTGCTGATGTGACAACTTGCCTCTCCTTAAGTATTAACATCATGTACCTATTTAGTTTTAGAGGAAGGAGCAATCATGAACTCAGAATTGTGTGTGTTTGTGTATCTGTGTGTGCATGGCCCTGCTTGCATGCTTGCCTTCAAGTCCCTTTTCTTGCTACTGATTTTGGAAGTGTTTTATCATTGTTTCCTTCCTAGGGCTAAGAGAAAGTGATTGGCTCAAGATCATGCAGCTGGCTTTGGGCCAAGGCAGGATTAGATTAGTTTCCTGTTTCTAGTCTGGGGCCTTAACTATTACACCAGACTGGATCCATTAGTTCAGGAGTTTCCTATAAAAGGATGACTATTACATCACAGGAATAACAATAATATAACGATATGAATATTTACCAAGAGTTTTAGTTAGACTTTCAGGTGAGATCCTGAGAATGATAAATCTTGGCCATAGTGAATGTTTGCTTAGATTTGCTCTATAAAATATTTATTAATGATATTGTATCATAAAGACTCACTAAACCAGGGAGCTTAAGGAACCCATGCATCTAAATCTTTATTTGTATTTTTTGGAGTGTTTCTTCGGTAGAAAATAGTGGTAGTCCTCAACTAACAACCATTAATTCAGCAACCATTCAAAGTCACAACGGCACTGAAAAAAATTACTTACAATTGATTCTCAAATTTATGACTCTCTCAACATCCTTATGGTCACATGATCAAATTTTGAGTGCTTGGCAAAATGGCATGTATTTATGACTATTGCATGGTCCTGGAGGTTATGTAATTGCCATTTGCAATATTTCAAGTTGGCTTCTGATGTTAATGAGGGGAGCTGGATTCGCTTAATGACCACATGATTCACTTAACAACTGTGATTCACAACTGTGGTGAAAAGGTCATAAAACTAGGCATGAGTCACTTAATATCCACCTTGTTTAGCAATGGAAATTCTAGTCACTATTGTAGTACAGGTTGAAGACTGACTGTAGGAATTTCCATTTATCTTGCAATTGTTTTTTTGAAAATTGTGGCAGTCTTTTGCGTTTGGATTCAAACTCATTTTGAATTTTCTAATCTGTTATTTTAAAAAATAATTTCTTGGTTTATACTGTACGGCCAGGAAGGAAACCTGCTACCAAGTAACTACTCAGTGGTCTGCAAGAACTGCAATGCTACATATAAAAACTTGAGTTCCCACTACAGTAAGATGCAGAGGAGTGGGCAGCATGAAGAATCTGGAGAACAGTTTCATTTGTGCATTGATATAGAGGATGCAGTAAGTCTTACTTTCTATTTTACTTTCCTTATTTGTATCATATCTCAATATACTCTAGTGCAGTGACCTTTTCGGTACCGAGTGCTGAAAAGGGAGTGTGGGTGGGTGCGGCACCGAGTGCCAAAAAGGGAAAACACAGCTTTTTATATACTACAATAATAAGGGTCGTTCCTGATAAAGGGAGCCTTTTAATGTAGTTTGCTAGTTTATATAGGCTTCTGAAATGACTTGATGCCACTTAATCAATTCTACATATATTGATAATAATTTGAATAAACCTAGTTCAGACATTTTGGTACTTTCCAAGGCTAAATGGCTGAAAACCCACCAGTGTTTCATCGTACAGTAAAAACATCTTTTTCTGGATGTCCAGTTTTGTATTGTCACCTCCTGAATATCCAGTCTCTGTTTACCTCACTGGCTGGTTTCTCAAAGGATTAATTGACAGGGATGTCTTTTGCCCATATACTGTGATGTGTTGGCAGTGATGAGGCATATTGCTAGGTGCAGGCTTAGGTCCCATCAGCCATTTATATTAACCTTCTATTGTATTTCTGTGGACATCCTTCTGACATTTTCTTAATATGGATCCACTGAGAGGTTTTCATTTGTTTTGTTTTAAGACTTTCTTCAAGACACATGAATTTGGCATCTTCTATATAGCATCCAAATAAGCAGATGCTCTTACTAATATATGAAATGATTGGATTGTAGTTAATACAAATTTAAACGTTGAACTATGAAAGAACACCCTTAACAAAGCACTTAACTACTACATTTAAAGCTTTTCACAGTGGACATTTTAAAATATATCTGAAAACCCATGAGATTGCTAAATTTGCAAGTGCCATTAAGGATGGCCTGATAATTGTAAAAACTATGTTGCATCTTATCCAGGGAAGCAGGATCTGTACCCAGTAAAAGCTAGACATATTGATGCTTATTCAATGCAAAACTTTGCAATGTACTCAAATATTGATGATTTCTCAGATGTCTTAATTTCCTTGGTGTTTTTTTTGTACAATTGTATCCTTCTAGATGAACATCACACAAAGGCTGTGGAGCACAACTTTTAATTGTTCTGTCCCTTGCACAGATACAGTGCCAGTGATTGCAGTTTCTTTGTTCATTTTCTTTCTACCACTTGTTTTCTACTTGAGTACCTTTCTTCACTCAAAGCAGAAAAAACGTGTCCTGATTCTGGGTAAGTAAAATTAACAAATCTTTATGGTTTCAATTGGGATTGAAATAAAAAAAAAGGTTACAATGCTGAAAGTGGTTTTTGCATCTAAATGGCATGATGCCCAATGTTGGGTGTTTTGGAATTTGGGACTCTGTTCACAATCTAATTAGAATAATTTGGTTTGGAAGTCGATAATGCATCATTTGATTCCGTCCCACTGCTGTACTCTTTGAGTGACTAATAAAGCCTTTCTGAGTCAAAGGTGGCAATTCAGATGGAACAAATCAGACAATTGGATGATTTTCTGCTATCTTTTTTTTAAGGTAGTAAGTAGAGGCAGCTTACTATCTAGTTAACTCTTTCTGAACAATATACCTAGCATATTGTTGAACATCTGTGATTAGCAATATCATATACAGTATTCTACTATTTATTTATAAAAATATTTGGGTGCCATGATTTAAATAAATGATTTGAAGAAGTCTCTCTTCATAGTATGGTCAAGTTACTGTATATAGGAGTAACTGTCTCATATAATTTGACTGTATATGTTGGCTGTTTTGATACTTGGAATAATTCGACAGTTGATAAAAATGAACAAATAAACATGTTGCCCAGATAAAATAGAGGTCCACCTTGACATTTAAAAAAGAATTCAATTTTCATTTGAGCATGGACAGCAATTATCTCATTTTCAGATTTGTAATTTTGTGTATTTCTGGTTCACTCTTGAATATGATTTCTCAAGTTTAAATGGTGGCCAAGAGTACTTTTGCTCCTGGAAATTAGACCAGACCACAATGAAATAGGCCTTCGTATTCTGTTGTACTCTGTTTACAACTCCCTTTGAACTTGTCTAAATTTTAAGATCTATTGCAAAACCCCTTCTCCATCTCTTGCCATGGGAAAACGAGGAAAGGTCTTCTCAATAGTTCCTCATCAGCTTTGCGCCTCTTTGCACTGATTGGCTAGAATAATTCTCTATCTAAAACAAACCAACGTTATTCTTCTGATTGATTTGTAACTATAATGTGGGATTTTTTGTATTATCACTATTTTTGATATTCACTGTGGGAAAGTATGAGGTCTCACCATGCTGTTGTATAAATGATACAAATTTAATTGGTAATTCAATGATATCGTAACAAATATACTATTACTTATGACTTGTTCCAGATGCCTCTCCATACAAAATCTGTTTCTTGGGTCTTAGATTTCTTGTATGAATATGCTATTTGTGAGATTTTATGCTTTTTTGTGGGATTTTATGCTTTTTTTCTCTTTCTAGGTAAGCGAATTCACTCAAATGCCAGCTTTGCGAACATCCAAGATAAATCCAACTGAGATTGAGATGAAATGGGATATTAATTTGATTGCTCTGAAGACAATTATAATTTAACTTTACATTATGCTGTAATAAAAGACTGTGTGTCTCAGATAGGTGTATGCACTATTGTGCAATAGTTCTCGGGGATGATATGACCTCCAGAAACGAAAAAGAAACTATATTCTCTCCTTCAATCCTTCTTGAACTTTTGTCTTACTTCCTGATTGGTAAAGTTTTTATACTTTATATAATGGATTAATAACATTGACTTCCATGTATGATGAGCTTATGTGAACATTCCTTTCTAATTCTTACCTGAATGCTGATTTATTTAAAAGTTATCATTATTTAAAAATGAAAAAAATGAATTCAATGGCTTAATATTTATCAGCAAACAAATCTTAGTGTTTAGTCTACATTGCTATTAAAAATGCTGTTTGACTCATAGAAATAAAATGTGAATTTTATATACTATATTGCTGGCAATAAAAATGATTATTAGAATTATAATAATTACAGAGTTCGACTTAAGGAAAAATGTCATGTCTTGATATTTCTAGTGTAGTATACTTGAATAAGCTCTTATCTCTATTGGCTGGTTAAAAGCAAGATTAAACTAATGGAAAGTCTGTTACTTAAATATTCTCTAACCCTAAAATTATTTTTTATGAAGTGGCTTTTTATATAAGGGTACATAGCATATTTATTAGAATTTACAGGCAGTATTTTATTGCATTTGTATATATTGCTTTGGAAAAGTTACTTAAATTAAAACGAAGGGGAAAAAAAGCTCAACAGCTTGTGGGGGAAATTGGGTTAAGAGAATAGAAAGAATTAACATGTGCAGTATAGGAAAATAGTGTCATAGTATTTAAATAACGAAGAATATTGATAGATTTGTCTAACATTTTTTAAGAAGTAAATATGAAGACAATTGTAGGCTCTTGGTATCTCTTTGTAGAAAAATTTAATGATTTAATAAAAGGTACATTTATAATGCAATCTTGGGGTTTCTGGGAGGCCATAGAAATACTGCACATTTCTCTCTGCAGGTGGAGAAGAAACTGCTAAAATGGTGTGTTCTCTTAAATAGTGTAGGATAGTCCTCAGCTAAAGTTGCCATGCCTTGCATCCAGCATTAACAAAAAAATGGAGGCATTGGGGAAAAGTCAAGGATGTCATTGGACAAGATTTAGCTGGGCTCATACATCATATTGAACTGTGATTCTTTTAAATAATAGTTTGTTCAAGAAACCAAAATTGACTTGGTTTATAAAGCTAAGGGTGAAGAATCCAGTCCCTCATTACCTCATTTGAGGATGGGCTAAAATTTTTGGATCCATTTTTTTTGAGGGATTAAAGCTATTCTTAAAAACTCTTACATCCCCTCTAATAGACTATTGTTTCATTGTGAGTGAATGAGCCTTCTAAATCATTGCTCTTGGTGCTGGAATAAATGGAGAACTTCTGAAGTTGGTAGAGTTATTGTCCGTTTTCTTAGATCTAATGAAAAGCAATATTAAGAGTAAGGATTTTGTTTAAAATAAAATTTCCTTATTTCCTTCCCTATCTATTTAGTGCTGAATCAACATAAAAATAATTTGCATATGGATTATGCTGTATATTCAGTTGTTTAATCAGTTATTTCTGCCTAAGAAGGCAAAAGTTCTTGCATGGCACTCCTAAATAGTTTGCAGAATCTCTTTTTAAGTAGCTTGGTGGAAGCAGCATTAGATTACTGTTGGAAAAGTAAGGGCATAATACCAAACAGCTTCTAATGAATGAAAAATGCATGGGGGTGGGGTGGGATTGGGGAATATATCCAATTTTAAATGTCATTGTTTCATCCTAAAACTAAATTTTGCCATCTGAGTCACCATTGGCTCATGATGCTTGTTCAGTGCAGATTTGGAAAAAGTTGGGGTGTTAAGCCATTCTTAATCAAATGAACTGCTCTGATTGATGCTGAGTTGCTGGCTATATTTTAATGAGATCCACACACACTTATGACTGCATAATAGTATTAGTGACAAGCTAATTATATTTGATCAGCAGGGCTAAGCTGATTTGAAATAAAAATATGCTGACTTCAAGAGAGTTCTGGATTTGGGCCAGAATTACAAAATTGAGCAGGTAATGATTGTAGAACATGACCTCTATGTTGGATGAAATAATAGAAATAAGAGCAGATGTAGCATAGGTCCTGAAAAAGATTTGTATGTCACTGATACAATAATCTGCCTATTAGTGTGTTTTTATATTTTAAGATAGCTATTTTTTCTGTTCAGATTTCAAGACATGTAGATTTAGCTACGTCCTGCCCTTTAATAGCATTCACTTGATTTGAGGCATCACATGATGGGGAATGGCTCAAAGCAATCTTTTATTTATGCTGTGAGAGATTTTGTGCATATAAAGGCACAGAATGGCAGATTTTCTTATTAAAGACTTTTGCACTAAATATGTCTAAAAGTCACTACTCCCTAGAATGGTGGTTAAGCACTTTTCAAAAAAGGTGTTTTGATGTAGTTGGTTTTATGATTTTCTTAGTATTTGAGCCAAATGGACATAACTTTCTATTGTTTTTCTGTATAAATGTAAAAAAGGAGAGACCTAAGTTATTTTTAAACGTGAATATAGCAGTTTTATGATACAATGATATATTTTTCATATTGTTTAAAATTGTACATGATATATACATACCTTGTTAATGGATTTTCCTTGTCATTGTTTTAATTTTAAACTTTATGTACATGTAAAACTTCTCCAATAAAAAGCCAGAAAAGTGTAATAAACACATGTTTTTTACAATTACTTTGAATTGTAGATTAATTGTATTTATTTTACTGAGAGGATGGCTGTTGAAAAATAATATACATTGGTATTTTTTTATCTGTGACAAAAAGATTCTATTCCAGTATTGAGTGTCAGAACTTTTACTTATATAATGCAACATTTCATTTCCTGTATGAACAGTGACGAAGTGTTTCATTATATACAGAAAAACATAATTATACATTATATGCAGAATGTAATTAGATATAGAAAAACATGATGAATTCCTTGTTCTGTTGTGTACAGCACCCTCAGCCAGCATAAGTATTCTTGCTGGGGATGAGTTCTAGTCCAGCATGTCTGCAGGAGGAAAGGTTAAGAAAGACTGATAAGGTGTTTTGGGTCATCCAAAACCTGGTTCTATTCATTTTTCTCAAATTGATTTTACTTTCATTAGTCATAAAACATACTAATTTCTCCACATATTTCTGTGAAGGTAGTTTATATATTATAGAATTAAGTTCAGTCTAATTGTGAAGTATGAATGCATTTGATGTGTACCAGTTACACTGTTGTAAATTTTCTGATAGCGTGCATGTGTAAAAATTTCAAGATAGTAAAATATGCTTGTCATTGAACCATTGACGCAAAGAGACTATTCCTCTTCTCGGTAATACATTTAAACTTTTGAGATGCACATGATAAAATAATGTCATTGGCTTAGATAATATGCTGGTGTAATTGCTAAATAGTTATTTTGCACACAAAACAAACTTATAGAAATATGTCTACTGGGAAATGCTCTTTTCAGTAGTGGAGAAAGTCCACTGATGAACTTTCCTTCTACAGAAAGGCAACAGTAATTTTTAAAAATTTCCTCTTCATCCCTCTCCCAGTAACACTCCTCATACACAATTCTGAAGACTTAGTCAATTAAAAAATGTTTTTGGGAGTATGGAGAACCACAGAGTGAAAATAAAGTGATCTAAATTCTCTCTGGCCTCACATTAGACCAGTGGAGTAACTCACGTGATTTCATTCTGGGCACCTCTGGATCAGTCCCCTTTATAGTTGGACTGACTTATCAAATCTTTTTGATAAAATTCTAGAACTGTCTTTCTGGACACATCTAAATTGAAATGTAACCCAGTGCTTATCTAACAACTACTGGGATAGTTAGCATAAGACACCTAACAAATGGGCTCATATTTCATGCTGGGCTAAGTCAAGCCACTCTGAATTAACCATAATATGTGACTGGACATTGTTCTCATACTCATTAGGAGACCAAAAGTCTGTAGACTGCAAGAAAATGGGAGAAAATAGGGTGTCCAGAATTACAAAACCACAGTCCTAGGCTAGCCAAAATAATACCAATTACTCTGAAAATACTCTTCCTGATTAAATTGCTTTTGCAGTGCTTCATTCTTGTGGAATGCACTCCTAACCATTTTCATGGATTAAGAGACATTCCTCTACTTAT